TTACTGCTCAAGATCAGCCCCAGATGACTAGTGGGATTCTCAAATCTGCCCAACTTAGCAATAATAGCCAACAACTCATCCTGACAGCCAGCCACTGCACCAAAGGTCTGTCTACTCCAGTGCTTCACTTTACCTTTAACACGAGCTAGCCTGGAGGAAATTCTAACGCAACTATTTACCACAGGGCTAGTCTCATCCCATCACAACTTGATAAGACCTATGATGCCCTCCAATTTAAGCCATATTCTCAATCCTAGAAGGAATAGATACCATCTAGAAACACCCAATCCAGGCAGACAGACAAATGGTTAAAAAGGAATCCGGGCGGCTAAGACAAATAGCTAGCTATTCAGCGAAAGATTCCTCTATAAATGTGGAAACCAAAAATCTTTGTGATAGAAAAAGAAATATTATTAGATAGAGAAAGAAAAAATTACATCTGAGAAGAACAAGAGATCCTCCTTGAATCTAAAACTAGAAGATGCAAAAAAACAAGACACACAAATAGAATAAAAAATGAAAACAAAAAATTTATATAGCCATAAATCCTAATCCAGAGGATTACAAGACTATCATGTCCCAATTCATATGAAGTACAGATAGCGCAATATCAGAAAAACGTTCATGAGCTTTCGCCCGTAGTGTGGAAACCACCAATCTACCAACCCAAGGAGACAGGGGAATATCCCTGAAGCTAGACCATTTCCACTTGCCACTTCTCAAGGAAGATCCAGTGAGATTCATACGTTTCTCCAGCGCCTTGGAAAAGGATTTAGGAGGAGCCACTGACTCAATCTTACCACCAACCTAACCACCCAAGGAGCTGATTCTTTTTACTGCCTTGCTAGGAAACAGCTCAGAGCCATGCGATTATTCTTTATTGCCACACAATATTAGATCCCCCATCACTTCTTTACCTTCTTTCAAACTTAGGCTGCAGATGTCGTCACTGCCCCGAACAGCCTACACCAGCCATTAACCCAAGTATCCTCCAAAAAATCTTTCTCTTTCCACCTGCTTTGAGTGAGTTCCTTAAGCTCGAAAACTTCCTTTGGCATTTCTTCCCTTATGTAGAGAATGAGTATGATCGCACTCTCACTCCAGAAGTTATGTCCTCTGACCAAAACAACTCATAAGCAACCTAAAAAACCATCTTATCTCAAGCTAGAAAAAAAGGTCCAAGAACCTGTAGTGAAACCCATTCTCAGAAGTGTAAGTTTTCTGTCCAATGACCAGAAACTTCTTGGAACAATAGCCATAGTTTTTTCAGCAGGCTAAGGAAAATAACCTGACAAAAAGGAGACTTTCACAAAAACTACTTTCTCTCTCCACTTACACCTTCCAAGTTTGGGGCTGGCTTGTTATAATCGGAAAAGTAACTACTTTTAGAAGAACGTTAATAAATGGAATAAAAATGGACTACGCTTGGGAAAGTATGTCAACGGAAACATTCCACTGTTAGAAGAATAAACTGAGATATTTCCGTGTTCCTCCTCTTTTTTCCTCTGCCAAAATGCCCGGTTAATATGTTGGATAAATGATATATGGTTTCTATTGGGATACCTATGCTAAAACTGGAACATGAATAAATAATAAACTACATAGGAATTGTCAATACTGGTATCCTCTGATAGACTGCAGAGGATATTTGTATTCTCTAGCAGACTCGAAAGCTTACAATTGGCAGACGGGATTGCAAAAAGCACTAACCTTTGAACTCAGAGGCTTTCTCAGGGGTCAAGAAATCCCAAGTTCTCTCCAGTGCCTTTCTAATTTTCAAATTTGTTTCCCCATCCAAATTTGCAGTCTGCAGATAGGAGGCGTGAAGAAAAGGACTAACAGTTGAATTACATCAACAAAGAAGCAGTACTCGTTTTTCCAAATACAGCATTTGATATAGCAAAGAAGAAATAAGGTAAAATAAAATGAGCACCTCAACATAGCAGACACCATCTGGATTTGTACTAGCAAGAAAAAGAAGATCTGCAGGAAAAAACCCATCCTGCTTCACCTGCAAATCATGCAGCATTCAACAATATTCACACATTATTAAAGATAAATGACAATTATGTAAATTAGAACAGAAGTGGACAAAACACAAAACTTTCTGAATGAAGGACAATACTCATACCACTTGAACTAGTTCTTTTTTTAATTTTGTCTTTCTAAAACAAACTAGATTTTCTGTATAAACTATAATTTTTTTTCAAATTCTTAAATTAACCTTAAAATCCAGGTGAAACACCTTCTTTCCTTCACCCACTTCAGCTAAACGGGAGTGGCCAAAGATTCAATCATCAAATTGAGCTTTTCCAGCAAAGGGAAAGGAAAAGCCTCCTGATGGTGTGACAAACTACATCATAAGGTCCCGAGAATGCATTTTAAGATCATTTATATTCCAACACAAAAAATTAATAAGCAAGCCCCACTAGGTAAAACAAATCTACTCCAAGTTGCTATGCTCTACAAGGTTTCATACAGTTTAGTTATCCTAATATTACTGTGAGATTTTAGTTAAAAAGATGTATCATGAGACTGATACTTAAGGTTGATCCATTAGCCATTTGCCAAGTCAATCCAGTAAGTATGATAAATAAAGATGAGTATTCTACACCCAACCAATAACAAATGTAGTTCTGAGAAAAATATAACTTGAGATAACTCGGAGACATGCCAAAAAAAAAAAAGAAAAACTTTTCTCTGCAGAGCTAACAGCCACTACTCCCACTTCAGTGCCATAACGAAACTAATACCCTTCAGCAATATGCAGAAGCACTGATCACATTTAGAACCCAAATTCCCTCCGTGGCAAAAGCATGGAGCTCAGTGTGCTCACCCTGACAATATCTCCAACCTGCAACTTTCTCCATGGAATTGGCACCCACATTTGGTCTTGCAGAACATCTACTTGACTATTATTTATAGACATATCATTTTGAAAGCGCTTCTGCAACAGATAGTTAGAAAAGAGAGTCAGAAAAGAACTTTACTCTTGGGGGAGGGAGGGGAAAGGGGCGGAGTGGCACTGAAGTTGAAGCTCAGTTGAGCTTCAATTATAGCTTGGAACTTTTTTCTCTTTCTCAAAAAATCAAATGGGGGCTTGGGAATTTAGTACAGATCCTTTTTAATTGAATTAAACGCATAGTATGATATGAATGAACTTCAGTACTCACCCAATCTTCAAATGCCTCTTTAACAAGAGAAACAAGAAGCACCAAGGTCAGAGGGGCGACGTTCGTTATTGGATTCACAGGACTGCAACATCAGAGAGTTATTTAGTATGCAAGACTCATCTCATGTCAAGATATTATGAGGCACGGTTACAATCACCAAGCTGTTCCACCATGCAAACAAATAGCAATCTCTAAAGTCGTAATAAATGTGTAGTAAAAGAGCATGAAATAAATTCATAATAAATGTCTGCAGAAAGAAAAGCATAAGATGCATCTAAAAAAGCATTATGAAATCCAGCAAAACCCAGGATGACTGTTGTCCAATAATTTTTTGAGAAGGATACAGAACTTCTTCACAAGGCACCAAGGGGTCATTATATAGCTTCATAACGCTATAAAAATGAAAAGCTTGCAATAACACAGGAATAAATATTATTCAAATATAAATCTGTTAGGGATCAAAATTTACATAAAAAGAAAGTAATAATCAATAAGTCAAAGTTCAAGTTCAGAAAGATAGAATGTGTTAATTGAGTACATTTATCCACAGACGAAAATTTTAACAGTTCATAATAATAGAAAGTACCAAAATTACACTAGATAGAAAATATCCGTTTTACAAGAATTTTGTGAACTCCGTTGATATTAAAGCATTTAAGAAAAAGCTGCATACAATTAAATATGAGAAGCAAAGTCCAACAAGGAGAAACAGAGACAACTTGCCGGCCAATCAAATAGAGTGTCAACATAACAAGATTTTACTGCCCTGCCTGGAAATTACCTAATTGGTGTCATTGATAAACATGAGATCCCAAGAAAGTAGACATTTGCTATGCGCCTGAACTGTCAACAAAAACAAATCTTTCATCAGCAAGGAAAGTATGTCAGATGAAAACAAAAGCACTGATGGAAACGGGTTAACCATGATTTTGATTTTCACATCTTCAATCCTAATCCACCTATTTATATTGATTGAGTCAATTTTATATATCCACTTCACACTGCAGAAATACAAGTACAAGGCACACACGATTATTTTAATTGTTGCCAAGACAGGACAGATCCATATTGATTGGTTGCCTTCACTTTTTCCGGGAGATCTGCTCAAGACAATATCATATAGCTAAAACTTCAAGTGCACTAAACTCCGATTTTGATGCAAAATTAATGAAAAAATACCCATGCTGAGGCACAACCACAACCCCCTCCCCCTGTCCAGCACCCTAGTTCATTGGTTCAAGGTAGCAGTTTATTCTCCTCTCATTTCTCCCCCTTTTTAGAGAGAGAGAGAGAGAAATAGAACATTTATTAAAAGAAGCACCTAGACGTGCTACTTATATACACACATACAGATTACAAACGTCTCAAGATAAGTAACCAATTAGATCAGCTATACCAGCCTCATCAGAACGGGATGATCATTAGAGGGTTCTAAACCAATGATGTTCAATAGCAAGCAAATAAGCAGGATAATACATTTCAGTGCAAGATGATTTGACTCTATTTATATGATTTTGAGTATTTAGTTCTCCATATAACTTTGATCTTCTTGTGGAAGTGGAAATGAAAGGTAGTAGTTCTGGCCAAATTTTCAAAGAAATAAGTCCACTGTGTGGTTTATGTTTACAAAGTTTGGCTCATCATTCCAAGCAGTCGGAATAACTTTCTGTGAGATACAGAAGTTGAAATAACTTAACCTCATTGGGAATTAGAAACAATAACTGATGAAACAGACTCAAACAGGTTATATTTATCTAGAAATATTAAAAAACGGAACAAAATAGAACATTTGATATTACAATGTTAAAAACTCATTCCTAGATGTATTAAATAGATCTACATGTAAATTACAGAACCACCTACAAACGGCATACTAGAATTTTGGCTCTGAGAAGTATTAGCTGAAACCAATTAAGAAAAGGGGGGGAAGAAAGTGAAAACTTAAGATCCAACCCAAAAGGAAGCAGCAACAGTTATAATCATAAAACAATAACGACGATGTATTCAGTGCTCTATGCACTTAGAACAAAGGCCAAAGAAGGACAATGGAGATAAAGAAAAGCATGGCTGACTTTACTGAGAAAAATTAAAGAAGAAGAGAGTGAAAACTAAAAAAAAAAAGATAAGAACTAGGAATAATTTTTGTTGGGAAGTGTATTTGTGTAGTAAATAGGATAAAGGGTATTAGTAATATACCTCTTATATATTATTAAGAGGGTTTCCTTCTATTATCTATATAAATCTGTATGTATAGAGTTTTATTATTCAAAAAAATTTATATTTCATTCTTCACATGGTATCTGGGCACTGGGTTAAAGAGACTCTAGAACTCATTTGAAAACTCTATTCGGCCTTCATTGTCAAAATAAGAGAAACCTCTAAACAGGTGAAGCCAGCTTCCCAGCCTGCTGCCTCAGTCCAACTGCTGGCTACCAGCAGCCAAATCTGGCCTTCATTGCCGGCAACAAGATCAACAAAGCCACAAGTTGTGGCTCCTCCTCCCGCAGACTGCAGCTCACTATACAGCTGCTTGACTGGTCCGCCAGCCTTCTTTACCACCATTCACAGCTCCTGCACATGACCAGACTTGCAGCGCATGCCACCAGCCACAGTCCCTTGCAGATGCAACCACCAAGTGCATCAACAACTGCAGGCCTATCCTCTGCCACAACCACCACCAAGGCAACTGGAAAACAATAGACCTTCACAATGCAGCTACTCTCTGTTGCATCAGCTCCAGCCAGCAACTTCCACCAGTCATGTAGCATTCAACCGCCACTGCTCAATCATGCCACAAACCCTGTCCAACTAGTAATATCCTTATTTCTTGACTTATTTAGTCAGTCTTTTTTTTAGATAAATTAAACTGATAAGAACAGATATTACATTTGATCTTAGCCAAAAGGCCGAGAAAGGTATATTTAATCAGTCTTAATTGTCTCAAATTTTAAAATCATGTCGGAAGTTACATCCTAAAGTACTGGAACAAAACCCCACATGGCAAACCCAGTACAAAACTATGGCAAATTTCAACCAATCCAAACTGTCTATCATTTCAACAGCAAAGGAGTTGGTCACAACTGATTCAGGCCACTCTCAAGGGCAGAGGAAAGCAAAGTCATCTCCTTAGCACTGAATCAAAGCTGAAAGATCCCACTTTTAATGCTTGGGATGAGGAGGATTCTATGATCATTGTCTAGCTCAAGAACTTTGTGGCAGCAAAGATTAGTAAACTAGTTACGTACTTGCCTATAGCAAAGGAAATTTGGGATTTGATCTGAGAAACCTATTCCAAGGAAAAAGATGCAGCCTATATATGATTTGACCGTCAAACCTGGGACAACCAACCAGACAACAAGACAATCACAGAATATTCCAACCTTTTAAAAGGCTTATGGCAAGAACATAATCAATATCATGATATCAATCTTGAAAAGATTTTTTGACAAAGATAGGGTATACCAACTTATGACAGGACTCAATAAGGAATATGATCAGGTGAGAGTCCAGATCTTAGAGAAGGAAGAGATGTCATCTCTAAATGAGGTGATATCCTAACTAATGCAAAGAAAAATAGAAGAGGAATTATGCTTAAATGGCTCCGCAATGGTAACTAAAGGTTCCAAACCACGTCCAAAATGGAATGAATCAAATAACAACGAGACCTCAACTATTGCCTAGGACAGGGAAAATCTCTTGTGTACCTACTACAAAAAAAACGAAGCACACCCAAAAGATGGAAACTTCATGGAAAGCCAACCACATCTAGAAAGGATTGAGGATATAAGAAGAATTAGAAACAGGCACATGTATCTCAGGAACAAAAGAACATAGAAGCTTGTATTTCAACGCAGAAATTAAACGAATATAGATCCAACTTGAGCAACTAGGAAACCTAAAGGTACAGATCTCACAGCACATTCAGGTATTTTTCCTATTTCTCAGTTTAACTGTCTTAGATTACATTATCATAAATTGTCAACTCAATAGCTACCGACCACATGACCAACTCCGTTTAATTGTTTAACACTTATACTCTATGTCTCAACAATAGGAAAAGTTTCACTTTTAATGATTTTTAACCAGAGTAGCAAGAATCGGAAACATAAATCTTAATTCCTACTCAATCTTAGGGATGCTCTCCATGTACCTAAACTGTGTACAAATCTTATATCAGTAACCAAATTATCTCATGACCTTAATAGCAAAGTGATTTTTTTTCTTCTCTTTATGAATTTCAGAACGCTTGAGACAAGTTATAATTCCTGGATGCACTTGGCGTAACAGCATCATTCTCTCTACTGGCACATTATATAAGTTATGATCGTATCAAAAGAGAATATGACACCCTTCTTTCTCCACCCTTAAGGTTATGTTTTTCTTTCTTTTTCTAATTTCGATAATGAAAGTTTACACTACAATCTATGTGAATTGGCAAAATACCTTTGTGTAACCTTTTACACCTAAAAATAAAATAAGTGTTTTCCTTTTCAATTGATTCATGGTAATGATTGGAGTCCCTTTCGTACTCATGACATCTCTAGGACATAGTGGTTTATTTCTTTTGTTGATTATTATACTCAGGTACTTGGCTTTTTTCCTATTAAAATTTAAAATTAAATTGAGTTGTATTGTTCCTCAACTTTATACCATAACTAAAACACAATTTGGAGTTACAATTAAATGTTTTAAAACTATAATGTCCAATATTATTTTAACCAATCCTTAACCCCCTGTTTTTCAAAATGAATGAATTGTTCATGAATTTTCTAGTGTCTATACTCCACAATGAAAAAAGTCGCAGAACAAAAACACAGCCATCACTACCACGTGTGCCTTCCTATTTCAAAACCATGTACCTAAACACTACCAGGGGGAAGCTGTGGTAACTTCGACATATCTTATCAACCGGTTACCATTTAGAGTACTAGGCCTCAAAGTCCGCTAGAAGTTATAACTATATTATTTCCAAACGTACGAATCACCAATGATCTTATCCCTATTGTATTTGAATGTATTACCTATGTTCAATACATCAGTTTCAAAAAAAAGAAACTCAATCCCAAGGACATCAAGTTTGTCTTTGTGGGATATTCATCCACTCAAAAAGTATACAAATCTTACCACTCATCCATAAAGAAATTTTATGTATCCATTAATATGACCTTTGTTGAGACCTTATTTTTCTTTAACCAACTTTATCTTCAGAAGGAGACCATAAAAAGATAAGGGAGACTCATTTTTTGACGTTCCTCCTTTGCCTGTAAATAATAAATCTATACTTTCTGAGCCCACCATCTCACAAGAAGATCATAACCTACTAAATGAGCCCAAATCCCAAGCTAAACAAAATGAGCCTGAACCTCAAACTACACAAGACCCTCGTTTGATCAGGTATAGTCAAGAAAAAAAAACTTCAACTCTAATCTGAAGTATATTCAAGAATCCAAGCCAAGCACTGGAAACAAGGTAAACTCAAAGAATCATTGTCATTCTAATACTGATATACCTATGTAGACAAAAAATGGACTAGAGAATGCACTAAGCATCCTCTCTATCTAATTTCAAACTTTGTGTCTTCTGAAAATTGTTCTCCAATTCACAAAAAGTTTCTTATGAACCTGAAAGCAGCATCCATTCACAAACATTATATGAGATTTTAACCAATGAGAATTGAAAAGATGCTATAAATATTGAAATGCAAGCACTTAAAAAAAACCAGATTTAGGAAGTGGTAGATCTACCTAAAGAGAAAAGACTAATGGGCTGCAAATGGATGTTCATTATCAAGTATAAATATAATAAAACTATCAAGAGACACAAGGTAAGACTAATGGCCAAAGAGTACACCCAGATCAAGGGAATTGACTCACATGAGACCTTTACACCTGTTGCAAGGACAAATACGGTATTATCCTTAACTGGTTACTTCAATTAACAGCCATAGCATTTTGATTTGAATAATGGCTTCTTGGATGGGAAATTGGAAGAGGAAATTTATATGGAGATTCCTCTCGGGTTCGCCAAAGGAGAACAAAAGAATAAGGTATGCAAACTAAAAAAGGCATTGTATGGGTTTAAACAATCCCCTCATGCATGGTTTGAGAGAATTTATAGGGTAATGTTATCCACGGACTACAAACATAGTTAGGAAGATCACACCCTATTCATCAAACACTTAATGCCAGGGGGAGTCAGTCCTACTGATGTATGTAAATGATATAATTATTATAGAGAATAATGAAAGAGAGAAATTAAAGAATTGAGAAGATTAAAATACTCTCGAAATAGAGATTGTCTGCTTTAAGTCCCGGAATATTTATTTCTCAGCAAAAAATATTAGAGATCTCATGAAAGA